AACCACCTTCAGGTATCAGATCAGTAAATACCTCAGACATTGCCATTTACTATGTAACTTACCACCTTGATCTACTTCTACCACTGCAGGAGCAAGTGTAAAAGCCCCTCCAGTGACATCAGCAAACTTTATCTAAGGTGATCTTACAAGGGAGATTCTGACACCAATAGGTTTGTTCTGAGGTTGTAAGGCAGCAGACAGCCTTATGCTCCTCCATTTTAGGGCTGGCTGCCCCATTGGGTCTACTTGCTCCACTGGGTATACAGATTATTCATGGATACTCAGCAAGAGCATGACTGGATGAACTCTGTTTGCTGATGTAAATTCCCACTGCTTCTCTTACAAGTTTCACCCTTTCTCCCTTCATTAAGGGCTATAAGATTGGTGGCCACTCTATCCTGGGCAAGGCCTACACCAATCTTGATGCCTTATCAATTGTTAATTGAAAAGTTTCTTCACTGTTGAGCATCCTTGTCTGCTCAGTGCCACTGACACTGGTGGTATCTGACTGCTCCTCCATGATCCAGCATGGGTCCCCTCATCCCACTTACCCGTCGGTTCCCCTACCGTGCCACCATCAGCTCCATACCAGCTGTAGCTACAGCCTCAGGACTTCTTGACCTAGTGGTCCTCAGCACCTTCTGGCATATTTTTCCCTCCACCTCTCCTTTCCCCAGTCCCTGTATTTTTTTTTTTTTTTTTATTGTAAAGCTACTATACAGAGGGTTACAGTTACATGAGTGAGGTTATGAGTACACTTCCTCTTGAACATTGTTACCCCCTCCATTGTTTTCCCCCTACCATCCCCTCCCTCCCTCCCTTCCCCGAGGTTCTTTTTTTTTTTTTTTTTTTTGATTGTGATTAAATGATTACATAATTTCAAAGTCACAAGTTCATTCTAACTTCCCTGGAGCAAATTGTCTACCACAGTCTGTAATATATAACAGTGTTCACATGTTATATACCATATTTGTGATCAGCAGCATGGGGATATTTAGTAGTGGTTCAACCAGATGAGCGGGAGTTCTTTGTTTCTTAAGTCCTGTTAGTTTTATCGTATCACCTAACCTTTTGGATTTAGCATCCACTTATCAGGGAGACCATGTACCGTTTGTCTCTTCGTTCTTGGCTTACCTCGCTCAACATGATTCCTTCTAGCTCCATCCATTTCCCTGCAAATGCCATTATTTTGTCATTTCTAATGGCTGCATAATATTCCATTGTGTATAGATACCACAATTTTTGGATCCATTCATCTGTGGTGGGGCATCTAGGTTGTTTCCATATCCTGGCTATTGCGAACAGAGTCCCTGTATTTTTAAAGAAATATTTTGAGTGGAACATCAAACTAAACTGGACAAGAATAGCCAGGAGAACAGCACAGTAAGTCTCCTGACTTACTCCTGTAACATTAGCTACTAAGGGAGCATGGACTGGGAGGACCACTTTTTAAGGCCAGGCTGGGGAAAAAGTTCAAGACTCCACCTCAACTAATATCTGGTCATAGTGGTACACAATTATCATCCTACCTATGAGAAGCTAAGCTTGGGAAGATTATGGTTCTGTGCTAGCCTGGCAGTACAGTTCATGAGACTCCATCTCAACAGAAGTTGGGCACAGTGGTATGCACCTCTCATCCCAGCTACAACAGGAAGCATGAAATAGGAGAATCAAGGTCCAGATGCAGTTTGGGGTAAAAAGTGAGACCCTATATCAAAACAACCAGAAAGAGCTGGAGGTGTGGTCCAGTAATAGACCACCTGCCTAACCAGCACGAAGCCTTTAGTCCAAACCTCAGTACTGCCAAAAAAAAAAAAAAAATAGTAACTAACTTACAGAAATATTCTAAGGACGAAAGAAGCAAATGTATACAAAATGCTAACTACAATATGTGGATTCAAACTGGCAAAAGTTTTGCCAGTGAATTTCATCGAGTAAAATTAACCAAGGGCACAGGCTTCCAGAATGAAGCCAGAAAAACAGCTTTGCTGAAGCCATGTTGCTAGAAATAGGAATGTTCCTTCTATTGCTAGACCTAAATTTACTGGTAAAACAAAGGCCTATCTTTTTTATAGTTTTGGATTCCAATTTGGCAACACTGGGTTGCTGGTCATTATAGATACACTTGTAAAACAATAAAGACTAATCTTTATTGCTCAAGAAATGATGTCTTCACCTGTTTGGTGAGCCCTTGCCACACCCACACCTTGCTTTTGTTTGTCCTTACCTCTGGGACTGGAAGTGACCTATCAAAACTTGCCCAATGTTAACAACCCAAAGGAAATTCATGGTACAAGAAGTCCTTGTCATCACAGAATTGTCAGACATTGGATTTTAGAAGACACCTTCAAGACCACAGAACTCAAACATTTTTTTTTTTTTTTAATTTTAGGGAATTGGACACATAAAGAAGTCCAAGGTTTTAAGATGAAGGTCTCAGGGGTCATGGAAGACCTAGGTCCATGAAAAAGGCTTCAGCTCTGATAGTACAAAACAAACCCCAGGAAGCTTCATATCACTGACAGTGTGGCCAGGCACACTCCGTAGTTTTCTTACCGAAATGTTCTATCTGAACTTGTGAGAGTCTAATTTTTCATATGAATATATTCTCAACCAAAGATTGAAAACTTGGAATGTGCAAAAATCTTCCCTTGCCTATTACTAGAAAGCAGAATAGCTCTCACCCAGCCAAAAGAGAATGAATCTTTTCTGATCTACCAGCCAGCTTCTTCTACTTTAAGAATTCTTTGAGTATATTTGGTCCAAGGGAAAGAAAAGAGATTATTCACACTGTGGAACAGAAAGCATTAACCATTCAACCATCTAATGCACATCTCTAAACAAGTATATCTTAACTGAAGCAGTTATAAAGATCAAGAGAAAGACCTATAATCTTAATGATATACTACAAATAACTCACAGTTATAATGTTGAGAGAAATCCCCAAACAATGTATATTTTATGATTCTACTTACACAAAGTAAGAAACTAAGCAAAACTAATCTCTTCTGTTAAATCAAGACAGTGCTTATTCTTCAGATATGAGGTGACTAGGTAGGAGTGCATGGGGAGGAGGTCTGGAGTAGTGAAGCGTTCCCCTTTTTTTCAAAGAATTGTTTTAATTTTTAGGTATTTTTTGTTATTATAAAGGTGATGCACAGAGAGGTTGCAGTTTCACAAGTCAGGTAATAAGTACATTTCTTTTTTGTCACCCCTTCCCTAGCTCTCTAAAGTGTTTCTTGATCTAGGAGTTAGTTATATGGGCATGCTCACTTTGTGAGGATGCATCAATCTATAAATGTCTGTCTACTTTTCTCCAATGAAATGTAATATTCACAGAGGGATTTTTCCTTCTGGAGGTGACAGGGCCCATTCCTCCTGTGTGTGTTATGTACTTAGCCTCAGGTGAAATGTGTTTGAGCACTGGAGGAGCCAGGTATATTCATGGCTTTGATAGCTGGCTGCCATTACCACAGACAGCTCTGAGAGGTAGAGAGGCTAGACAGTCAATAGCTTGCCCCTTTCCTTTCTACCCTAAGGCTGGGAGAAAAGGAAATTGAGAGACTGTGAAATCAAGCCAGGTAAAACTCTCTCCTGAGAACTATTTTCTCAGATGAAAGAGGAAACTTTCACAGTCTTGTTGGTTGTCTAGGTCACACAGAAGAGCTGAAGTGGTAATCACTTATGGTCGAGATTTTACCTGAACATGTTTTAATTTTAGTCACACTCACACATCACCAAGTATTGCAGGATAGTTCAGCTTAGTGACAAGCAAGCTAGAGCAGATGCTGAAAACCATGGAGACAGTGAAGAATATCCTCAAACCTAAATGAAGAATGGCCCTGGCCACAGTACAGCTGGGCCACTAAAAATAGCCAGCAAGCTCTAAAAGGAGTTGTCTTTCTCTTCTTCTCTTCTTTCTCAGTACCCTGTCTCTAATACATAGGAAAAGCCCACTTACGGATGCTGTTACAGCCTAAGTCAGTCTTTTCAGGGTAGTAAACAGAAGAAACTGGGTATTAGTTCCCAATGCTGTGAAATCTGAAAAACTTTGTAATGTTAATGACTGGGAAACTGGTCAAGACTTCTAGCCATTGATGACAACCTTGATTATCAATCTTTTTTCTTGTACTGCCTAACCTCAAACTGTAAAACTAGGTTTTGTTTTGTCAGCTGGAAACTGATGAATTCAAAATAGCCCTACAGATCTTCTTTCTACCTGTGACTTGTGGGAAAGCTTACTTAGCTTCTAGGAAGGTTTTTTGAGGGGGCTGTTAAGAGACTGAATGTTAGGAACAGTATCCTCTATACAATGGTTAGGGCCTTTGCCACCATTTATAACCAAACCTCATGAATAAATGACTCTATTGAGGGCAAAAGAAAAGATGTTTCCAAGAGTCTGGTTCTACCACTAAAGGAAAGGTGATTTTGGAAGAAATCCTCCAACGTTGTCACATTTGGAAGAAATCCTCCAAGGCTGTCACATTTAATTTTTAGTTTTTCCTTGGGCAAATTGCTCAATCTACATCCGAGGAACTGGGATAACAACTAGCTTCAGAAGCACCAAGGGACCCAGAACAAAGATAAGTCACAGTAAGAATAACAAAATTCCTAAATCCACCTTGGCCAAGTTCTGGAAACAGAAGCATACAAGGATTCACTAAGTGGACTAGAAGAGAAAACATGAAACAACACTGATGGTTCCTGGATACCAAGAGGGCCACAAATCACTTGAGGAGGCCACCAAGACACAGTCATTATTATTACACACAGATTATTCAAGATTGTGCCAGTTTGGGGTTGTGACTTGCAAATGGCTATCTTTTCAGGGCTACTTTTAATTCAGTTCAGAAAGAAAGAAAAGAATGCTAATTCAAATATTGTTTTCCTGTGGGTACATGGAAGAGAATGGTCAGTAGGCAAGAAGATATTCCTTCTCTTATTTACTCGACTGTCATTGTTCCACCCAAGAAACTCTGTGATAAAGAATATCCACATACCTTTTTGAAGAGTCTTCCTGAGTCCTCACTGACTTGGACAAATCGAGGAATTATATTATTCAGGTAGATGTCACTCAAGGTAGTGTGGTCTCTGCTCTCCCGCTTCACCTGGTTTAAGAGGAGATTCCAACAGTTGACTGGAGAAAGAACATTCTGATCCTTCCTGTAAAGAAACAGCAAGGAAAAAACCCTTAATGTTGGTAAGCAGCAAGGGCCAACATCTACAACTATAGCCCATGTCACAAAATCATAGCAATTACCGCAGAATCAGAAATAAAGTTATCTTTCCTGAAGCCTGAGATTACTTCTCTTATTTTCTAAAATTCAGTGGACCAAAAAAGGGGGAAGGTGTGAGGAAAAAAATAGAATAATAGTAAAGAGAGGGAGGAAAATGGAAGAAGGAAGGTGAGGTAGGAGAAGCTATGACATTTGCTGAATATCTACTGTGTCTTAGGAAGTTGGTGAAAACTTTAAATGTATTATTTCATTGAAGCTCCCTCATTTTATTATAAGGAAGAATTACCATTTATGGAGTAGAAAACTGAAACTCACAGGGGAGTCATAGAAAAAGTCAAGAAGTCACTGAAACTCATAGAAGTCTAGACCAACAGTTCTACACTGCCAGACTAGAACAAATGTGGGCTGTCTGACTCCAAAGTCCATAGTCTCTAGGGTTTGGAACAAAAGTTAGAGATTTTATCTAAAGACAAAAATCACTAAAGCACTGTAGACTAAAACCCCACAAATTTATCCACTATAGGATTCCACGAAGGCAATGTTTGTTGAGAGAGAGAGAGAGAGAGAGAGAGAGGGGGGGGGGAAGAGAGAAAGAAAGAAAGAAAGAAAGAAAGAAAGAAAGAAAGAAAGAAAGAAAGAAAGAAAGAAAGAAAGAAAGAAAGAAAGAAAGAAAGAAAGAGAAAGGAAGGAAGGAAGGAAGGAAGGAAGGAAGGAAGGAAGGAAGGAAGGAAGGAAGGAAGGAAGGAAGGAAGGAAGGAAGGAAGGGAAAATAAAGGAGGGAGGGAGGAGAAAGAAAAGTCACAGAAAACTCTTAGGAATACATCTAAGGAAGCTTTGATTTCATTACTGAGCCATGATATGTGTCTCATATAACCAAGAGCACAGCCACATCTGAACAGACATATTCCTGAACATCTACAGCTTGAGTAGAAACACAAGTGCTAATGTTAGATGCTCACATCAAATGATAATGAGTTCCCAAGGACTTTTCATCTACTCCATTCACAGTACTAATTTAAGCAACTCCAAGTTTTGCACCTGGAAGTTGAATTTCTTTAAACAGCAGAGAAAACAGGAAATAGGATTCATTTGTGGTCCTGTTTATCAATGGATATAATGTACTTGGCATAGGCTAGGCCCTTTACATGTGCTGTTTTCCTTAACCCCATGACTACTGATGAGATGGGTACAATTAATCATACTTGAAAAATGAGAAAAGATGGAGTGAAGAACAGGTTCAACACACAGCCAGCAAGTGACAATGCTGGAATTCCAAACCAAAGCTGTAACAGCAGAGTACTCTTAACCATGGAGAAGAATCACACTGTATGCATGGCATGTATGCATCCCTCTCCTCTCCTTTTCCTCCAGGTCACTCTCAGTGCAAAGGAGAAAGAGAGAGACAGAGACAGAGACAGAGAGACAGAGAGACAGAGAAAGAGATAGAGAGAGACAGAGAGAGACAGAGAGAGACAGAGAGAGAGAGAAGAGCGAGGTGAGGGACCATTGAGAGGGAATTGGTTCTTGAGACAGCACTGCTTCAACCAGGGCTGGTGAGTGCCAGGCACTTGTTATCTGTAAATCTGGGAGTTCAACTTAGAAGCTCTCGATTCTGTAGTAGTAACTAATCACATTACACCTACCTGCACTTCAGAACACACCAGAACAGCAAATCAAAGACTTGTTTAACCAAATGTTAAGAAGTTGCTTCAAACCAATGAATGTTAAAAGTACATATTGTTTTCAGCCTGCCATTTCAAACCCCTATCCCAGGCTTTGCATGTCTTCTTCTTTGTACAAAAGAATGGGTTTTATTATATTTTCACACATGCACAGAACATAACTTTGATCATATCTAACCCACACATACACTTACTACTCTCACTCCCCTCAACCCCTCCAAACCAGGAACAACATGCTTTGTAGCAATATAAAATTGTTAACACTACCTGTCAACCACAACATTATATCTATTACCTTTCTAGGGAAATTAAGATTTCCATAGAAATTTAAAACTATGCCCAGGAAAGAGCAAGAGATATACAAATTAATTCATTCCTTTCAAAATGTTTAGCATTGAAAAAAATAGTAAATAGGAAATAATTCAAAATGGTGAGGGAACTAAGCATGTATACTCAATGATATATGACATTTCCACAAGGGAACTCTCAACATGATTCCAATCCATTTTAGTTATAAAAAATCAAATTTACATTCTTTAACAAGAGATATTCCATGTCCTCAATAAGCATAAATGTGCCAGGCCATTAAATTTGCTTTCTTAAAGGGCAGGTTTGGGCTGGAGTTATCACTCATGGCAGGTCATTTGTTTACCATGTACAAAGCCCTGGGTTCAATTCCCAGCATTAAAAAATAAAATAATTTTTTTTTCTTTTGGAAAATGGTAAGTCTCACAAGATCTTACATTTACAATTGATTCCAATCTGCTTCTTATGGGAAAGCATGGGCTCTTGGGTCAGTGCTGGGTTCATAGTAGACCATGGTTGTCCAGTGAAAATCAACTGTATCACCATGTCATCAATTATTGCAATGCTTATTATAAATATTAGTAATTAGCTAATTAATAGTTACAAAGGGGTATGGGAATAGCTTCTAGGAAATGTCAATAATTCAATAATAAAACTTATAAGTATCTAAATCAATTTAAAACTATTCCAAGATTACAATAATCCATCTGTCTGAATTAAGATTTATGTGCTGAGAACTAAATTCAGGGTTTTGAGCACACTAGAAAACACTACCACTGAGCTCCATCCCAATCCTACAGGAAATAAATTGGAAGCTGAAACAGATACAAACTTTAACTTATTCACAATTCTGAGTTCAATATAATTTAGTTTATAAACACCCTCATTGTACACATTGATTTTGTAATATAGAACTCTAAAAATCTGTACTTTAAAAGTAGATTTATACCCCCTCAAAAAAAACATTGCTTCGATTTATTTCACATATTGGAATTCTATGCATGATTTTTACTTTTAAAATGAGTAGATGGCTTTGAAAACAAAAAGTATTAGGACCTATTATGTTTCTTCTAGGGGTTCCCAGTCTCTTTTACTACTGCTGCAACTTTCTGGATGATCTTTCAGTTCCTCTGAGTTTTGATGCTTTCTCAGACATAGTCTTCCTTTCAACTGAGGTGGCTTAATTAATTAATTAATTTTTAGGCGGGGGGGGGGGGAGGGAATGTGGGAAGAAGGGAACACAAACATACTCTATGGGCAGTTTCCCAGCCAACACGAACAAAGATGAAACACACATCAGGCTGGAAAAGAAGCAAGTCCATGAGACGTGATTTCATAGGGAGCACATTAAGACTCTGCTAGAGTGGTTTCCTGCTCTAGTGGCTTTGCAGCCTGATTTTATTTGGGGCCACTGGAGCCAAGGGAACTTCATTTGGTTAGGAGATTGAAAATGGTCTTTATATCTTTTCCATCTCTCATGTGTTCGCACAGTGTCTTTACTTTCCCCTCCTCCAGAGCCCCAGGTTGTGTAATACTCCGGCATTTAAAGAAAAGGGTCTGCATCCCTTAGGAATGTGCTGAACAGCTGCAAACCTCCTCAAATACTAATCCCTAAAAAGCAGACAAAATATCCACAAGTATTTTTCTTACTTAAAAAAAGATTTCAGGAGGAAGATCAAGAAAATATCATATTGTACTGGAGGGGGGGTGGTGTGACCTAAGTCAAACGATAGAAGACGTAGAAAGTCTAGAGCCAGCCAGGCATCTGCACAGGGGATTATTACTGCAAATGGACTGGGTGAGACAAACCTGCCCAGCTGAATCATTAGCTCTGAAGACATTAGCCCAGTTTTGCTCCCTCAGTTTAGACTACTTATGAATCTTCAACAAACTTAACAACAAATACTCAAAGGGATTTCTCTAAAATATCCAGGGTGAAGAGCCAACTCCATAAATTTGGCCTCTATATTATACAACATTTCTCCTCCCTCCCCCCACACCACACACACACGTACATGGCCCCTGTGTTTAGTTTCAATTGGCTCAATCTATAAAATAGACATCATGACTCTTGAGAAAGATCTTCAATGAATGGCTATAAAATCCCAGAAACTTCCAGTCTGAGACGTCATTAATTACTAATGGCTACATTCAGAGATCTGCAGATAGAGCACACTTGGCATTAGTGGAATAGCTTGAACTTCTTCATTGCTATAGTAAGGTGTGTTTCCTTCTGGGCCAAGTGTCTCTAACTTGCCACTTTCATGGCTGTTGTATGGGTCAGCTAAGACGAGAGACACAAAAGAACTATGACAACACAAAAGCACTATATAAATGTGAGGAAATATTATTATTTTCAGTTCCAAACAAACCAGGACTCAGCTTTCATCTACTTCCAACATGTTCCTCACCCAGCCCTGGGCCAGGGCCAAGAGCACAGCCTACTGAAAATGCACAGCCCCCAGCAAATAATAGTTGTGATATGACAGCAGCAACAGGCAATTAACAAAGCAGCTGTAAGTCTCTAGGAAGACGTGAGGGAGATATCAACGGAGAGCAGAATTCAATCTGCCACTGTCCTTTCTCTAAGGAACAAGGTGGAACAATCAGTCCACATTCCACACTGTGTGCTGTGCTTGACAGAAAGGAATGGAAAGAGGACCTAGACTGTCAGAACCCTAGATGCTTCTGCAAGTTCCAGACCCCACCCCCATCCCAGAATGCCTATCAGATCTGGCAATCTCTATATAGAGTTGGCAAATATCAATATGTCTAAGAATATGACTTCCCGGCCTTAAAAACATACATCTATGATGAGAGACAAAATCTCAAATGAGTTAAATGTATCATTCAATATGTTATTAAACATCCAAATATGAGAATGATCACACACACACACACACACACACACACACACACATACACACACACATACACA